ACTAGATAATGCTGCTGAGGTAGCATTTGCTGGGATGTTGTGAGGAAAGGAGTGGGCTGTGGATGGAAATTCTCCTGTGTTCAGAAATGGATGACAGTTTTTTGTGGAAGTACAATCTTGCTTTGTCTTGATATGTCACTTTTGATACAATGATTAAACAATCTCCCTTTACTCTGCATCTACTTTCAGCTGTTTCCAGTGGGGATTAGAATTTACCTTCTGAATTTACAAAACAATTCGAGTCAGTTTTATTAACAAATATAGCCAGTAATTTATTTACTCTTGGAATGCACTTAGCCCTTGGGTAAAATGTGTCTGTATTGTTTAGAGCTGTTATCAATATGACCTCGATTTTATTTGTTTATATTGACTGAAATGCATTTTATGATTAAAATATGTTGTATACAAGATATTCAGCTTTCAAAGCTCTTAAATTGTTATGGGTTTTTTGTATCTGTGTTACTGCAGCTTTATAGGCCAGATGCCAAAGCAAATGTCACATATCCTTGCACTTTTTTACCATTATAGTGGAGTTTTTTGCTTTCAAGTTTGCTTTTTTTTTACTTAGTGGTAAATAGATACTCTTTTTTTGCAAAGCTTGGGTATATCTGGGTATTTAGGCTCCCCCACTGTGTTAAGAGAAATACAAGGCACAGCTTGACAGGAATAAGTTCCCCATGATTTTGTGTTAAAAGAACAAAAATAGCAGAGTGCCAGCATGTTTCTGTGGTTTCTTGAGCAGAACCATTGTGTCCTAGTGGTGACCTAGGAAATCCTGTCATGGTGTTGTTGCACTGTTTACATTTCCATTACATTTCCTAGATTCTTGGAGGTAAATTTCTTGAGCATATTTGAGAAATATTTTACTGAACTTGGCTCTGCTGTTATAGTGTCAAGTTGATGTATTTGCCCACCTAATTTTGTTGGAAATTAATCTGCTGGATGTGCAAGTGAATGTAAAGCTGGGTGGCCAGTTCCTGTTCATCCGAAAAGAAAGATAATCACCAAACAAAACCCGAGGCATTAATTTAGGTATTTTTCTTGTTTTGCTTAGAGGGACTAACAGTTTTTGGTGTTCAGAATATCCTTATATTCAGGTTCTCAGAAATTTCTAGTTTTCTTCTGCTGTAGTCACTGCTATAACAGACATTTGCCATAGTTTCTTTCTGTGTTTTTTTTTAATTGAGAGACTGTAGAGGTATTCTCTTGTAATGTCAACCCGACCTTGCATATGCACTTTTTACCCTTGAGTTGTCTCCTGCCTGACCTTGGCTGGATGATTCATCTTTCCCTAAAGGCACCATCTCACTGAGCCCTGCTTCCCTGCCTGTGTGGCAGGATGAATGTGTGCTGTCCCCAAGTTGTGACTTCTGCAATAAAGGAGTAACTGTCCCAGTTTTAAGCTGGCAGTGTGAGCAGTGTCCAGGTGTGGGCTTGTGGGCCTGTCGTGGTCACAGTGTTTCGTTTCTCTGCCCCACACATTCTGTTTTAACCCACTGTGCACAGGAGAACATCCCTGAAAGCTGCACGTCTGTGCACGCCTCAGATTTCATTTTAACTTGCCTGCATTTTGATGTAGCAACCAGCTGTTCAGCAGTTAGTAACAGGTAAGGATTATCTTACTGCTGTCATCATTTTGCTGTGTCCTCAAGCTTCTCTCAACTTGCGTAATCGCTGCGCTGTTAAACCTCAGAGGCTGCTTTTCATTTGATGGAATGTATAGAGTATGATGTATCCTGGACATATGGATATTACTGCTGTGCAGCTTGTATTTGCTGTCCTCGCCTGGGTTCTGCTCACAAGTCCAAGGGTTCATTTCAAAACTGTTAATTTAGCTCCTAGTGAAATGCCCCAGCAGTGGGCAGGAGTAGTAGCAGCTTTCTGGTCGCCTGGACTGTGAGATTTGTGCACAGAAATACAAACGGGGAAGAAGTAATAATGGAATTTGAACAGCCTAATATGCTGTAATAAGGTAGAATAAGGCTATATGTAATTGGCCAGTAACAAATGTTAGTCTTGTTTTAGATCAGGAAGTAGTGGGGAAGCAGGAGCTTTGGGTAAGTTTTGCTCTCATTGTGTCTTCAGGCCAATTCAGATGAAAAGTCTACCTCATGGATGATAGTTGGGGTAAAGTAGAAAAGCTAATAAACTTCATGAAGCCTAAGAAAGTGGCATTTTTCACTTGGGCTTTTGTTGGTGAGTCTGAGTATGCCCCACGGTGAAGTTTTCTTTTCCTTTTTTGATTTTTTTTCTTCTTTTTACAGGAGAAAAAGTTTTAAAGCCTTCATTTTACTTATTTGTTAATGTATGTCTTCAGGTTTGTTAGACCAGATTGAGAGTACACGGTCTGAACCATGCATGGGGATCACGGCTTTGGGACAGTTCCAGATAGAGCAAAGCTGACAGTAGATCTGTGCTTAAGCAAACTTCAGCAGCCTTGCTTGGCTCACAAGGCTCGTACCTTGATGTGGTTCCCAGGCAGCTGTAGTGTGCTCTGCAGTTTACATATGACAGGATTATGATTTCATTGCTGTCAGTCTGAATTGTTCTGTGCTGTTTTCCTAGGAGTTGTTTCCACACTTGCAGAAGCCATGTTTATCCCAAGTGCAATTAAGTATTTTATTAATAAGATTTTAAGGGTTAGAGCAACTTACCAGGGAAGCCATAAGGGACAGTGTCACCTTTATTGTTTAATTTAGGATTAGCTGCCTTTGTGTGGGATGGACCTGCTTTCAGTTGCAGCTGTGAATTTGCTGAGGGAAGCCTTAGGTAAATGCTCTGATTTGTGCTGTTGAGGTGGTCAGAGGTGATGGTTTGCAGCCCATCAGATGTGCCAGTGCAGTGTCTGCTGTTAGAGCAGGTGCCCACCTGTCTGGGCTATAGTTACTGCAGGCTCTGGGACTTCATTTCCAGAGATACCTGAGTAATCAGCATTTCTAAATGCACCCAGCTGTAAAGTTGGCTACATTCTGTAACAGTGTTGGTGATCTTCACAAGCAGTTCACCTCTTTATTGTGTGTGGCGAGACGAAGGTTGATTCTTCTTATCTTTGGCAAGATAAAACGTGCTGGTTCTGATACTGAAACAGCTTTCTTCAGTCTCGCTGTTAATTTTGGCAGAGCCAACCTGGTAAATCTGCTAAAACAAAGAAAATGCAGCAAGAGAGACTTTATTGTATTTGACCAGAAATAGAGTTTGACTTTCAGTTAATATCTAATTACAGGCTTAAACAGAAAAGTTAGAAATTACCTGTTCAGTATTTCAGTCTTGATGGATGCATTTTAAAACCTAAACTAGTTAGTGTGGTAAATCAAAACAGGACCAATGTGACCTAAGAATTATTGAGGTGAAATTTTGAGCTCCTGGCTTAGAAAATTGATCCTGTGAAATTGGATCAAGCGTGATAGGAATGAAAACCTAAAAACAGTTAAAACCTGAACTCCTACAAATTTCTTACTTTAAAAAGTGTTGGGGAAGCTGCTGTAGAGCCAAATGGGAATCAGCTTTTATATATTGCACTGCATGTGAAAAGTTATGTATCTTGGGTATTGCTATTGAAACAGAGGAGGTGATACCTTGTGTGCAACAGTGTAGGGATAGGCACTGAATGGAGTTTTTGGGTCTGCTGTGCATCCTAACAAAATGTATGATTTGCACAGAAATACATGTGCTGACTGCTTGAAACCTGCTTTCCAACATTTTCAGGTGTTTAGGGTTAGAATTGGAAAAACTATTAATTACAACTTGCATGCTCATGTAGGTGGTGCATGTTTGATCCCAGCCTTGATGCCTTTTGCACCTGGCAGTATCAGAGCATCTGCTCTTCTCCTTTACTGTAACAAATGTTTGTTACCAAGTCAGGAACCCAGCTGACCAAAATGGGGAAGGCAGAATTGTCCTTGTAAATGCATCACCATATTCTGGTTTATTAAAGTATCTTGCAAAGTCTTTTTGTGACTCTTTCTGGGGCCAGTGTGCAATTTGGACGGTTGCCTCCTTTTTCAGAAAGCAAAAGATAACTTGTAGTATGTTTTATTTGAGATGTTGGTTTTTTTCCTGCTTTTCCTGCTGCTCTTCCTGTGCTTTTTAATTCTATCCTGTGCTCAGCAGCAAGGGTGTGTTGTTTTTGTTCTCCCTGTGTTTTGTGTGGTGTTTGGTTGTCTTAAAATCATTCCTCCCTTGATAAATAAGCAGTTTTCAGAAGGGAAAAAAGGGCAGTGCAAGGTTAATGTTCAGCCTCAACCCAGTGTATATGTGAGTTTAATTTAAAAATGTTTGTGTATATAACATCAAAAGACTTCCATATTAGGAAAAAACCTCTCTAGCTAATTGGCTGAAGGAGTATCTGTAGAAATAATCACTTTGGGATCCAGTGTTTGCATCTTCAGTTAGTCTTTTCTGAAAGAGATGGATTCTACCCTCATCTGTGGATATAATTTCTGGTTTTAGTCTGAGCTGATTTAGTACAGCCAGTCTGCTGCTTTTATCTAGGTGTTGTATGAGTTACATCCCGTGCCTCTCATCCTAAAAGCCACACCTGTTGTTCTGGCAAAGCCTCTCACTTTGTCATGGCAGAGGCTGATTCTCTCTCTCAATGGAGGCACTCCACAACAAGCTCTTGATGTTCAAGAGCTTAAACTCAGAACTGCAGTGATATTGGCTGTTTGGGTAAATGTGTGCCTGAAGGGTGTGTGAGTGAGTAAAACCTCCTTTATTTGATATCTTGCAGACTGGAACAGTGTGATTTTCCAACTAAAACCAGAATGCTGGGATTTTGCTGTCTTCTTCCATCAGCTTTTTAATTTATTTTTTTTGAAGTTGAAATGGAAAGTGGCCTAAGCAACGTCTGACTGGTATTTTCCTGCTTGAGAACACAACCAAAAACTGGGCAAAGCTTTTGTTTGGAGAACAGGAATGCTGCTTTGCTATGTTAAATAGAATGTAAGATTTGATTTCTGAAGAAATAATTATTTAGTTGGTTTTGTCTGTTTTTGGTACAGGTTATTAATGCTGCTTTAGCTCTTGCTGCCAGACCAAAAAGTCAAGTTGTGAAAAACAACATGGAGATGTATAGGAGTACGTGGGAGAATCACATCCGTGTTCTTACTGAAGCTGTGGATGATATAACAAGTATTGATGATTTCCTTGCTGTATCAGGTATGATAATTTTCAAAATCTAGCTGTTGTTTTATATGCTTTAAAAACTTTTCATCACTTTCCAATAGGAAACCAGTGGAAGATGGGGCTTTATAATGATTTGTGAAACCATTGCTGCTATTTCACATGTCTCCAACCAGTGCATATTCCTGCTGTGCACAGTGTAGAGTTGGGCAGAAGTCCCTGGGGCTGACCAGGCGGGTGTGACAGGGGTACATTATCCATCCCCACAGCTTCATCTGCCTCTGCAGTTTCAGATCCTCTCTGCAGCTGTGAGAAGTCTCTGAGGAAAGGAAGTGCGTATCCCTGTGCATATATCTCCAACAAGGGGTTCTTGTGATACGCTGTGTTCCAGTTACTGTGGAATGCACAGTACAATTTCTGGAATTTTCAGTGCCACAGATACTTGTCACCCAAAATGTACTTTTATAGATCTCTTCAGTGAGGAAGCTTTGGGTAGTAAACTGTATTTACTGAAGCAGTGAATGTCTTCAGCATTTAAAAAGAAGACAGAAAACAGTTGTTTCTCTTTTTGCAATTTAAAGATCCCAGTTCTGAGGAACTGGGAACTTTTCCTCACTGAGGAAAAGTATTTAACAAAAGCATTTCGGTTGCCCAGTGCCTGTTTGTTGTGTTGCTCCAGCTAAAATACACCTTCACATGCATAATTTAGAAATCTTTATATTGTGAAGCACATGTAAATTTTGTATAATTCTCCTTTTTTGATTTCTCTTAAAGTTGCGTAACTTGGAAGGGAAAGAGAAGTTAATGTCATCTGCCTTAAATGTGGTTTAATTTCTGTGTGTCTGTATGGTCAGTGGGCCCTGTGCTTGCCCATTCTCTTTGGGCTTAGTTCCATTAGTTAGTAGTATTTGGTTTATGCAGCATCACCAGGGTGTGGCTATTCAAGTGCAGACAGCGTGAGCACAGGCCCTTGGTGAGTGTGCTGGTGTGGGATACAGACTTTTCCTGGGGGCATGGAGATTCTCCTTGCTTTGCAAGGTCAGCTGGTGTACCTGAGTGACTTTGGTCTGAGTGTAGAACTTGCTGCAAGTAGTGTGGCTGAGATATTAATAGCTGCTCTCCTGTGTGTATCTCAGCATCTTTGTACAGCGAAGCATAACCTGAGAGTTGTTTTCTCCCAGTGTTAGTTAGCATTTGATGGAAGTGCTTTATGAACCTGCCTCTTGCTTACAGTGCAAATGTTCCGTTTCTGAAATTTCCTGAAATTTATGCAGGTATTGCTAAAGCTGTTAATAAAGAGATGAAACAAGTCAATTGCTAATGAATAAAATACATGAAGCTCTTTAAAACTCAGGAGATTTTGTAGTAGTAAGCCTTCTGTCAGATTCATTGAGCTAAATGATTCTTTTTATCCATACAGCTATGATTCATTGAAATGGCACATTTCATAGTTTGTTTTTTTTTTTAATTCTTGAAGAATAAAATTAAGCATTCTAATAATTGTGTGAAAGAAAAATCTGTCATTGGGCAGCTGCTCATTTCACAGAAGACTCCTGGCTCTTTAGTATATTTCTGTTCTTTAGTTGAAAACAGTTGAATGATTGACAATATTTCACAGTAAGTGAAAGCAGAAACAGATTCAGGTAGCACTGATGCGTAGGCCTACATGCCATGAGGTCCAAGAAAGGTAAACACTGCTGTATTTGCTCTAAACTGTGTGTAGAACATCTTCTGTAAGCTTTGGTAGAACCCTTTGGCACATGTTAATTTAATTTGTTTAAGCTTCCAAGCGTCATGCTTGTTCTTAAGTGCTCTGTTGAGAAGGTGTTTCTCTATGGCAGTGCCACCATTTTGCTTTGGGAAGGTTTTTTTACTCATTCACGAACAAAGAAGTAATTATTAGGAGTAATCGTAAGGAACAGTGCAATCCACTTTTGGTTTACTCCACTGGGTATTAGCTCCATTACTGTGTTCTGAGGGATTAAAACGTTCATATACTGCTCTGGCTAAATAGAAAGGTTAGAAAGGTAATGGAAGATGGTATCTGCCCTTTTTTGGAAATTACTTGGTAATTAGGAAAGATAAAGTGCATTGAGGATTTTGCATCGTGTTTGAAAGGAAACACATTCCAGAACCTGTATTTAATGGCCCTATTTTTTCTACAGATATTAGCATTGTACATCTCATGCCAACATGGGCATTGTGGGCGAGAAATGCCTTTTGAAATGACAGATTCCTTTGGAAACAGATTCTGTGCTTTGCCAACGAATCAGCTCCTCATGTGTGAGCTGGAGTTGCTGAGCTTGCAGATGCTGAGGAATCCTGAAGGGTCAGAATTGCATTCAGAGTTACAGGACACTTTTTAGGGAATACAATAAACACATCTTCCCTAGTGGTTCTGGTGACCCAGAACTTTCCATCATACAAGAGAATTGCCTACTTTCACGTTCATTTTAAATTTCTTCTCTAACTCATTGAGGGGTGAGATATTTCTGACATTCCTGTCTGTCCCGCTGGCACTCAGGGAAGGAAATTTGTGAGCATTTGGAAGGTTGGCTGTCTTTTGTCTGCTTGGGTTTTTTATGGTTGTGGTTTTTTGTTGTTGTTTGTTGTTATTTTGGTTTTTTGGTGTTTTTTTTGTCTTTGCTTCTCAGATTCTTGCATCTTTTTGAAATTGGTTATTTTTTTTTGTTTCAGTTGTGTTTTATTCTTGCTATTTATATATGGTACTTTATTCAAAGGACAGTTGCACTACAGAACCAAAAAAAAGATGAAATCAGGTCTCTACAAGTGAAAAAGAGGTCTGATTGCAAATAGTTGGAGGTCTGTTCCTTATAAAGGAAAGGAAGAGTTAATGACTTGTGTAAAAAAAGAAAGTCATTGTAATTATGAAACATTATAAATGATGATACTGTTGTTCATAGATTTGTTACACCTTGTAGGAACAGAGAATCAGTCTCAGCCTGTCGGTTTTGGATAGTTAATTTATGCAGGGAAGAATGTGGGTGTTAATCTTTACAACCCACTGACATTAAGTTTAAAAATTACTGTCATCCATTTATCATGATGGTGTGAAGTCTACAGATTCATAAATTAAAATGTGCTGTTGCATTTGATGCATGAATTTCCAGGAAACAGGTTTTGTTACGCTTGTAATTGCATTCATGTTGGTAAATCTGAAGTTTTATCCTCAACTCTGCTTTCGTAAACTGACTCTTTAGTGTCTTCTCCCTCATACAATTAGCCTGAAATGGAGTTTGAGGCTTGTTTCCTAATGTTGATTCTTCTGTGTTTAATACTCTTTTATTCAAAATTGCCTTAGTAAACCTAGTGGATGTAGGTAGAAAATCTGAAATGTCTGTATTTCCTTCCTTTGTATATCTGGCCTCTTCTTATGATGGTGTGAAATTGTAATGGCAGGCTAATTGCAATTAGTAAGTATTTAAATTTTATCATGTTAGAAAAGTAAGAAAAGACTTGGATCTTTTAGTCCCAGAATTAACTTTTTCAAGGACCATATAAATAAGATCTGGAGTGGGTTTATATACACAATATTCTCAGGACCTGTGTTTTTGGGTTTTTTTTCCTTTTTCTGTTGTCTTCTGGAAGAGCTTGCAATGACAGACCTGTGTGCTACTTCTGTGTCCTTCTCTTCATGTCCTTGCCCAAACTAAGATTATTTCATCAGCTGGGCTTTCTCTTCAGCCTCCTCTCTGCTGTCTTGAGTTTTGCTCTGTCATATTTATAATATCACAATGCTTACGTTCCTTTAATAGTAGCTCCTCTTTTGCCAAAATGGAAGTGCCTTGTTTTCATAAAAACGTTTCCTTGTTAATCTCTTTTCTCATTCCTACTCATGTTTGAGTAAGTTTGTCTTCAAGTTCAGTCTGCAAGTGACACAGAGCCTTTTTCTGTTGTGTAAAATGAAGTCTATCCTCTCTGCCCTTCTATATACCTTCTTAAAATACAATTTGTCTGAAGTGCATTTTGTTCCTTGTAATTGCATCAGCACTTTTAATTGAGCTACTTTTAAGGTAAATGCATTCCAAACAATGGTTAATAAGTCATTAGGCACTGTGAGGTTTTTGTCTGATGTCCAGTTTGTTGTTTCCCCACCAGCAGTTTTGTTTGCTGCTCTTTACTTGATGAAGTCACAGTGAGTGCAGTGACTTACATTTCTGCCGCAGGTGAGGATTTGTGTAATTCCCCCCTGCAGTTTCCACTGCTAAATTGATACTGGCAAAGGTGGCCACAGGCCAAAAATCCATCTGCACCGGAATCTGGAGAGTCTGCCACTCTTAGGGCTGTGAACAGAACAGGATTTTATAATGTATCCACAGGTGCCCCCACACATTAGCTCCTTACAGGAACTGGCCTGAGGGGTCTTAAATAGGAAAAGGCTTCAGAGACTGCTGCAGAAGTTCTGTGATAAGATTAAGGATCATTCACGATAACTTGAGAAGGTCAAATGGAGTAATATTTTTATTGAAGAATTGAGAGCAATCAGTGTCTCCTGACAAGAAGAGCCATAGTTCACTTTGCTATGGTAGTCTTGTTCTGGGATGATGGACAGACTTTCAGAGCAGATCCAGGGAAACCTTGCACATTTCTCCCACCAAATGGATTGGCCGGATACGTTTCCAATCTTGTAATCTTTACCTTGGAATCTAAAAATTTCGTTTTTCCAAGCATGGTAGGAAACAGTATGATGCCATTGTGTCAGAACAAAAGTTGCCTTTTAATGTAAGCCTGTGCCATCATAAACTTAATTCTAATTCAAGGAAAGCAGCAAAAGATTGGATGTTCAGTAAAGCCGTTGGAGAAAATCCTTTTTGTGGGGGCAGTTTTATGGCCATCAACAAGAACAAGAGCTAAGGCACCATATTTTTGACTGCTTTTGTTTGATTTGAGTGAAGATTTCTCAGTTAAACATGAGCAAAAATAATCAGGAAAAAGGAACCTACCTTATGTATTTTATCCACAGGCCTATTTCTAAAGATGTAATTTACCAATGTCACAGAGGGAGCAAATAGCCA